AAATTATAATAGAGAATAAACGAATTCTATTATGTGTTTGACAAACGTGATCGTGTTAATAATTAGTATTAATGTATTATAAATAAGAAAAACAAAAATGCCTATCTAGTAGTGATATCTATCTAAACTAGCGAAAAAACCTAATCTACCTATCTAACTAAAAAAACTTAAAAAATGTCCTTGATAAGTTTAACTTGTTTACACTATCTTACTCAAACTTCTACTTCTACATCCAATTGTTTTTATAAAATTAGTACCTATAGTTTATTAGTTTTGCGAGAGTTGCATTGAATAGACGAAAACTATGTAAAAGCCAATAAAAGACAGGAAATAAATAGTCCTAAAACTAGATTGTAATGTTTATATTTTGTTCTATAATTTGCAAAGTAGGTACCTATTAATGAATAAAGTGTATATAATATGATATACTTTACGCATTCGTCACTCATTATTCTCAATAGACAATAGTAAATCTATATAGATGAAAAATAAGCCTATAGTGACGCAGTATAATGTATAGTACGATATCCGAACACTATGCAATAATAATATGACATCAGATATTATTGTTAATATTACACTTAAAAGTCAAAAATTAATAGTTTATGCAGCAGATTAAATGACGCATTTTCTCATAGGTATACAGCTAACAACATTTATTATAGATGCAATCACCGCGGTGTGTGTTTATGCGTATGTGTGTGTATGGGTAAGTACTGCGTAGGTAGGTATATTATAGTCTAGGTATGCGTTTAATGTGCATACACATGTGCATATTATATGACGTATATATGTATGTATATTACCTACATACGTATACCATAGGACTTTGGGAGACCGCGCGTACAGTACATATATGTAGTGTATACCTAACCGCGGACAGCGCACGAAGGGATGATTGTTCCCCTAAATGACAAACGTATATAGCCGTAGGAAACGTGAATGTCAAACTCACACACACACACACACACACTCGCGTTATATGTGTACGTGTAGCGATTGTTCTACGGGTGTGTGCACGCGCGAGTGTATAATATGTGATACAATGGAAATGCGAAATGTAGAGGGGATTGACGGTGCAGTGCAGTGCAAATTGGGTTCGAATTTCCCATTTACTCGCGATAATTGAATTATTCGCATCGCAGACGAGAATATTATTTCGCATTGTCTGTCCGGTTGTCAACTGTGCATAATACGCATTATCTACAGCGGGTCCGACCGACCGACGCGCGGTCCCTGTCACGTCTTTTGTTTCCGGTGTCCTCGCTTCCTCGTTCTCGGCCGGTTTCAAATATTATAGTTTTTTTTTATATTTTTCCCTAAATCGAACCGACGACAAAATTAATAATAGCGATTCAGAGAAAACCTGTCCAGTAGCCAGCAGGTCCATGATAATAATTTAAAATATTAACATTACTTATAACAATCTTTGACCGCGAGCAATATACGGTTTCAAACTCGCGGGAACGATTTTCTAGACTAATGCGAGCACGATGCAAACAATAATATTATGGAGACATGTAGCAATAAGGTTATTACTTATTATTACTGTTTTTATGTTTGAAAGCGAAACACAAAATTAATATTTTAATATGAGTACTCCAACGGTTAGCGTAACGACTATATTAGATATTATTATATGATGATATTTATGTCTCGTATAGTTGTATCACCGATTGCTGATTATAATAATAATTATATTATGTACAATAAGTGGCGTATGGCGTATCCATAAATTGTGTTATGGAGGGAGGGGGTAATAGTGGAACACCATTAGGTGGCCGCAGATTTCAATAATGCTGAGAAAACAAGAAAAATGCCTAGATAATACAATTTAATAAACTAGATATTATTATAATTTATAGGTAAAAATATTACAAAATTTAACCTTTTTCATCTGGAGTTCCAATTTTATGCTATAGCATTTAATTTTGAGCACGATTAAAGATCAACGGGTTACACGACTAGTCGGAAAAAAATGGCCCTCCTGTTTAGTCACGAAAAGACATATATAGAACATAGAACTAAACTTAGCGCTCCTGGTGGAAAAAAAGTTCAAACAGTGGACGTAGTTATATATTATATAATATACATTATACATCACAGTCTTGCCCATGGCTAAATGACTAGTTATTTAGCCATGGCTTTACCTATAATCGTGATAATATTGAATTTACAATAACCACGATTATGGGTATACAACCATAATAATAACTGATTGTTATTGCAATTTTCCACTAAAAACTCTTAGACATTATACTCACATTACTCGCATCGGGGAGCCTAAACTGAGCATGACGGAAGGGGATACAATTTAGTATTATTTCACATTACAGTTGTGTAACCAATATATGTTTCATCATGATTTTGAGTGAATTCATTTATCGCTGAACTTAAAGGCAGGAACCGTCGACCTTATACTACTAGACAACTAACAACGAGTGCGTGGAAAACTTGGCAAAATAAAGGGCTCTCGATCTTTACTCGTTAACTGGTGTAGTATGATGGTGTGAGGAATAGTGCGTTAAGATGGTAATCGGAAAAAAAGTTTTACAATAGAAAAAAAAATGTCGGGTTAAAAGTTAGGTGAAAATGTACTGAACAATTTTTCTGTATTCTTGTACCGTTCTATTTACGTACTTGGTATTTTACTGTGTAATGTTTAATATAAATAATGCGACTGAGGGGTGGAATAACCGATTTGCAAAACTCTGAGGTCATAAGCATCAAACTATGTATGGAAATTAATTAAGAAAATAAAAATAGAAATTTCCGCAGATGAAGTGAAATTAGCTATAGATGATGCTGTAAAAGATTCGAGAAGTAATATAACACAAGGACAAACTCGAACCGTAGGAAAACGTATATGTATAAATACGATCGGGAAAAATCGGTGTTTTAGATTTTTATCGGCCATAAGTTATAACATATGAAAAAGTTGTGATGAAATTATTACGAGTATGTTGTACATTGTATTATTATAATAGTTATACAGGGACTAATGTATCTATTATTTTTAGCGTTTTTTTCATTAATTGGACATTTTTGTCAAGACTTTTTTCCCGCGATTCAGTAAAATATTAAATAGATAATATACAGTTAGTTGTATTTTGTCTTCGAGGAAGCTCACATCACTTTAATATTTTCAATATTGTTCAATTGTTGTCAAGACAAACTACATCACTGCAAGATGTTTCCTCGCCGCTCGCAATACTGTCGTCATATACAGTTCTTGTCCAGTATAGTATAATGTCTATGGTAAAAACCACGATATACTATTGTCTACATATCCTTTCGTCTACCGTGGTAAAAACTAAGTATATTATTTGTGTTTTTACATGGGATTTTACGGAATTTTTATTTTAAGCAAGTGATGAGTACGATCGTATGTTAAATGTTAAATTCTCATAACTCGTTTAAAAATTAGAATAATAATATAAATCACTGTAAATATTATACCTACAATATGGTGATTGCTTATCAGTTATCACTAAACCGAGAAATAAGTTCACCGATGAATGTAGGTATGTGTTTTTGAAAAATATATTGGTGTGCGCCAAAACCCTTGAAAAACTATTCCCCTTCGGAATATTAAATCAATGTTAATGTGTTATATTATTACCTGCAATCATAATGGTTAGTCAGAAAGTTAAAAACATGAAAAAAAGTTTAAAATATTAATTCGTATTAGTCATTCAGTGTTATATTTTTTTACGTACACTTATTACAGGAAAAGTTACTATATTTAGTGATAAATGATCATCTCGCGTATGATATTATATTTATATAATATATTTTACACCACGTCTAGTGTGGCGTTATTGGCTATTGCGCGACGCATGACGATTATTTCATTTTAAATAGTGTAAATTAGTTTACACAAACGCTTGAAAATTTGATGAGATTAAATACTACTCGTTGTCAGGTAGTACTCGTATAATAATAATAATAATAATAATACGAACAGCTAGGGGTGGATTGTTGAATACAATTATACGGCGGAGGTAGTAAATTCAAAACGAAGTCCATTCGACGTGATTGCGTGTTTTTTGCTTTTGCGCGGAAAAGGCCGGCTGCGGTATACATATGTACATTATAATATAATATGATGTGGGGACGGGCATATACGTATATGCATATGCGGTATATTGTCGAGGGCGATGATGACTAATGAGTCCTGGGGTTATAGTTAACTAGACGTGCATATATTATTTTCCACCGCTGCGGTGTGTATGCCAATTATAAATTATTATATATTTTTGGACGCCGCACGAGACCGCGCGCGCAAATCGAATTTTATATTCGTCACTCTGCAGCGCAACGTCCAATTGTAATTCAAAACTTTCACATAAATCTCTGGAGTGTTCAAATTGTCATCGACCAAAAATAAAATTATAATAATAACACTGATTCGGTACAATTGTTGTTGTGCGAACATAATCATTGCGCACTTTGCCACTCTCTAGAAAAATATAGTATATAATATGTTTCGATCATATTCGAGTTAGTATGGATATTTCGATTTGGGGATACTTATATATTGTAATATAATAAATTCCCACTGAAAGTCATATTGATTGACCTAAATGTATAATTGATATTACTTCTCCAAAACTGATGCTATTAAAGTGTTTATAATCAAATATAATAATCTTAAATATTATTACATTAGTATAATCGTGTATATTGTTAATTTTAATACATTATCTATTCTACTAGTATTATTTAGTGTTTTATTAAGATCAAGATATCTATGTATAATAAATAATAATATAATAGACACGCAAATGTTATATGTGTATAGTTATTCAAAAATTACGTTTTGGTTGTACTTTAAATAATTGTATTCACATACATATTATTTTGTACTCCAAGATAAATATTAGAAGATAGTATAGCAGCTGCAGTTCGACTATAACTATTATAGCTTTTAATGTATTTATGATTTGTTTATAATACATCAAATAACTTTTAATAAAAATATTCTTTATCCTTTTTAGATTATGTCGGGCACGGTACGAGAGTCTCCGTCGGACTTTAGAAATGGTGATTTGATAAGTCGTTTATTAGCGGCCACGCCACCGTACCAAACCAACTCTACGTTTGTGCCGCCGGGATTATATTTTAGCGAAATGCTGAAAAGATTCGTACAGGCAAAATCTTGTGCGCCCTTATCCTTAAATAAAAGAGGAAGAAAACGGACTTGGAAGGATAGCGGAAAGGCCGAACTACCGTCTGAAGCCAAGCAAAAGAAAATGGATTTCGCACCAATACCACCGCCCGCGCAAACAGAACCGCAATTTCCATTATGGTACCCTCCATTTTATCCACCTACTTACCCGCCGGTGTATTTTAAGACTCCAGAAGCGGAACCACTGAACTTACAAATACGCTCAGATCCGCTGAAGCAGGACAGGCATTATTCGGCGTTCCGTGTACCCGAACCGTCCAAAATGGAAGAACTCGAAAACATCAACAATAAACAAGGAACGAGTTATTTGATGGGAAACTTGACAAAAATTTATAAGCAAGTGGCGCCGGAGGAAGAAAAAATTATCGATGTGGAGGGGGATGGTCCTGAAACAGCGCAAACCGAAGGTGGCGAAAAAAAAAACTGTAAGGATTTAACGGCTCTAATCGGATTAGAATTAGTTGTAGATTACGTGAAACACGGAAATAATAAAGAGGGTCAAAATGATCAAAATGTCAAGTGTTGCCAAAATGCATAGTTTAAAGTATGTTACTTATAGGTTAGGCTATTTAATCAAACGAAAATTGAATACCGCAGTCAGTATTATATATATATATATTGTGGTTTTAGCTCTCTTACGTACATTAATGATGTCCAAAATGTCATTTGACTATTTTTCTTTAGTTTCAAAACTTTATGTAGATTGATAATTAATAGTTTAATTAGACATGATTACATGATACCGAAGTGGCGAAGTACTCACGTCCTACAAATATTATAGGTATTATCTATATTGTATATTGAGAAAAAAAATTTGTTATATACTCATTTATTTTAACAGAAATATTAATACAATTAATGAAGATCATAGTTTAAGTGTAAGCAATACTAAGCATTGAACATTAATGTTTAATAAGTTTGAGTGGATAATAATTTAATCATAACATAAGTATTCTATAAATTATTATTATCACAAACTAATGTAATCACAAAATTGTCTGATAGATTGTTTTTATAATTTTATTCCAATACATCCATCTTCAGGATCTTAGTAATTTTTAGCTATTATATATTTTAATAATGAGTATAAAGTGATAATTACATGTATTATTAATGACTTTGTACAGTGTTTACCTGCAGACAAATTTCGCAATACAATATTATCGTTAAATAGGTCTTAGAATAATATAATAAATAATCGTACAATACATTAGAAAAATAATTACAATTTTGGGTAGGTAAACAATTTCCGAGCTCAGCTGATAACCTTATATCGGGCATTCCAATAATCCAACGAGTAAATAAATAACATAAGAAACGTTGTCCGTTCCGATACATAGAATGATTTTATTGTAAGACATTGTGATACACAATCAATCATTTCAATTGTATCATATATTGTTATGAAATAAATAAGTAAATACTGTACGAGTTTATATAAATATTTATATTTTATTGTTCGAAAGCATTGAAATACATTTAGTAGACAAATTTTGGAAGTAACTAGGAACGATATCTACAAATAACTGATAGTGTACCTATTTGAATTCGGGTTAAAAATAAATGTGTGGCATTGTAATATAGGCCATAATAAATTTTAATTATAAGAGTGATTTTTTTTTCTATCCGTCATTTTATGTACAGCATACTTACTTTTAACAAATAACAATCACGAAAGTTATTAAACAATTAGACTTGAATTTCATACTAATTATCTAGTCATTTCGTTACCTATTATATATATTGTATTATTATTATTATTATTATTATTATTATTATTATTATTATTTTATTATTTGGTAATCTTTCTAAAACCTACTTTCAGTCGGTGTTACACTATTTTTACTACTAAATTATTTGATGTACCTAAAAATTATAATGAATAATTATTGTTATATTATTATGTTTTATTTATATTCTTGAATTATAAATAATATTTAGTCATTTTGAAATTGATTCAGTTAAGTTTTTTATTTTACACCCATTATTTACCCAATACCTACCCGTGTATCCTGTACCTATCCTATAAACATATTGTAACATGTTACATTATAGGTACCTATTACATGAGTGGCAGTATTGTGCTAAACAGTTCCCACCCGTTTCCGGTTTTTGAACGGGAAAAGAAAAAAAGAAAAAAAAGGTACCTTTTACCTTTGTTTTTCACAGTTCTATAAGCGACCACTACGGCACTAACAAATCACAATATTATGATAATATAATGCATGGTTATACAGAACTAAAACTTAAGTTTTTTATAATCGTGATAATATATTGTTTATTTGTATCTGCTGCTGATTTATAATGATATAACCTATTATATAAGATATGGGTCTATAGATAGGCATCGAGGTTTAGTTGGTAAGTAATAATGTTCAGAAAACGTTCGATGGTATAATACTATAATATGTTTTTTTTTATAATTTTGTTTTTAACATCATACAATTTTTTCAAAATAGGTACTGGCCTTGGGGACACATCATTCTCATTGTATCTAAGATTATTTTAACGATATAGGTACAGCTAAAGTTCGAAAATGTTAAAGAAAATACTAAGTAAAATATTTCTATTGTAGGTAGTTATTAATTATATTTTAAGGAGATTAGTGGGCTCGAATAATTCAAACCTGTATTCAATTATTAAATATTACCTTCATTCAATAATTAATGAAAATACATAGTTAATAGTTTTTGATTTAATTTACTTGACATTTTTTTTACCAGGTTGGGACAAACCATAATTTTTTTTTAAATAGTTGTTACTATGATTACCTGTTAATATGTTATTTAATAACCACAATGTTTGACTATACGGGTTTTAGTTTATTTTAAATAGTTAATTTATACATTTTCAAAAATTGATTAAATCCCCACAACTTGTACAAATAAAAAAAATTTAAAAGTGGTAATAAAATACTAATATGGTACTTCGAAATCAAAAAATTACGATCTCTGAAAATTTATGAACGTTCTGAAACGGTATGTGTTGATGTCAAACAAAAGTAAGAGAGAAAAATGTATCTAAATTGAATAATTGTTACTCATAGTATTTTATTTTTATGTTTATAAGATTGATAAAAGTACAAGTTTGTATATATTACTTAACCCTTAATATAATATAAATATGAATTGAATTGATATGTTAAGTAGCTATTTAGATTAAAAAATATGCTTCGTTTTTCTTTGTTAGTAAATTAAATATAAACTAAAACTTTATAAAAGTCAAGTTATAGGTATTTCTGACGAATTTAATTAATGGTATATTATATTAAATTATACCTTTTTTATGATATACAAAAACATTTTTTTTTTATTAATATAATATAATTTATTATATTATATTATATATCTACATGCAGTTATTGCTTTCACATTTTGAATACATATTGTAATGTATTTCTAAACATATATAATTACTTCCGTCCTAAACCACATTGACATTGTAGTTCACACATTCAATATAACTCACCCTTCTGCATATACACGTAGTTCTTTTTAATATGCACGGTCAATATTCAGCCCTATGTGTCGTATTTTCCGGTGAAATGAGTACTCAATCACCTCCGTTTTCTCGCAGGAGTTTCATTCAAAATCATTGAATCAGAACATCATATGACACGAGTTTAAAGATTATATTTTCAATGAATAGACGCAACAAAAAACTTACTCCCAAACATTTTCGTTATTAAAAATGTACTGCCAAATGTTTAATTCTTTTAGTGTCGAATTATAAGCTGTACTACAGCAGCTTAGCAGTTTTATTGAAACCTGGGAGCCGATTTTGATTTGGGATATGTATATTATACAAATAGAGGAATAGAGTAAATAGAGATATAGAGGTCATATATTTTATATTTCGTCATTATATCACGAATTTATTATTACCTTGGATTGTATAATAGCATAATCATTATTGTAATTACTGTTCAGTAAAATGTTTTCGATAAATCTAATAAAAAAGATGTGTTGTCTGTGAAAACTATTGAACTAATATACAATTATTCAGTAGAAAGAAAAATTTAAAATAAAGTTGTTCCCTTCGGTTCAAATTGAATACAATTTTTATCGTGTTCCATATAATATAAGCGACCTTAAATGTTTAAAATCTATAACCATAATATATTATCATACATAATAAAATAAAAACAAATAATAATAATTTGACATAATTCATAGTCTTTATTTATTTCAACTGTATATAGTCATTACTCATTAGGTGTATTGGCCGATTTAGAATACAAATTATTTTACGATATCGCTATGGTTCGATGGCCTTAGCTGCTTTTATAGTTACATTTTTGAAATTAAACTTAATTAAATTTAACAGAATATTTTTCTAAAAATTATTAAAAAACAATCAATATCGTCCATTAAACAAATAATTAATTGTTGACCTATATTTAAAGATATTAGATATAAGATAACAATTTAAAGATTTCAAAGTTTAGATAAATGGAGTAATACATTACACATCACTGCTATTTCATTCCTATTATTTACACATCACCTATAAAATGTAAAATACATAAATTTAAAAAAAAACTATTGATTCGTTATAAAATTTCTACACCATCAGTAATCATTTATTGTTTAAATATTCTACTTCCAAATATGAAATTAAAAATATTTGCGAAATTTATAGAAAAATCGGCTTGATAATAAAGTAGGTATTTGAAATTGTTCACTATTCATATTATTAAATTACTTATCCAAATACTTGTATTTTGGATCTTGCAAAATGTTTTTTCTTAAAGTCAACAATTAGTGAGTTAACAGTTAAAATTGAATAAAATTGTATGTACGCGTAGGAGACGGTGACGGCTTGTTCAGTCATAGTGGTGTTGGTAGAAGCAATATTGATAATTAATAAAATAAATAATAACAATAACAATTGCATGATATAATTATAGTTAAATAAAAATAATGAATATAATTAATTTTGTTTTAACTATTAATGAACTATGGTTGTAGCATATATAGTAGATATAATTACTGGACGCGTACCTAACCGTATAATCAGCCATATAGGTATCTATTACCTACACCTGTTGCGTATCGCGATTATATAAACTATATACACCTACCTGCTGCAATCGTATGATACGGAAAAATGTCTGTTTTTATTTTAAGAATCGTGTACCATATCTACTGAGCGGCGTGGTGCGGCGCAACAGGGGAATTTTCGTATCATTAAGAACGCGGAACGAAAACCCATCGCCGCCACTAGAACCGTCACCAAAGTCGCCACCGCCACTTAGATACCGTGAAATCGGCGACGACCACTTATCGCGAGCGGGTCGGTCATTCGCGGACCCACGAATTATCGTTATTAGTTATTATTATTATTATTATTATATTATTATTGTATACCAAACGTGTTTGGCACGTGCTTGCCAAGTCTTCGGTGTCATACATCCATACTATATTATCGTGCACGAGCACACTGCAGCAGTCAATCCGTGCCTTTCATCAAAATAATACTGCACCTGCAATTTATTATAGTCGTCGACGCTTTTCGTTCTCTGCAGCGATAATATTGTTATAGTCGTAGTCGCGTTAAATGACCATCGTCATCGTCGCCACCGGCACGCAGACGACAACTGCAACTCCTCCGGAACAATAATGACCGACCGGTTCCGGACATACGACAGCGAATGCGGCGTGAATGGCGTTGGAGACCGCCGTCACTGGCCGATGGCTTTCGGGGCGCTGCGACGGCCGAACAAAAAGTTTACGACCGTCCGGAGGCCCGTCGCAGGAGGTGGCGAAGGACCGGAAGTCCGGCAACCGGACAACGGGATGTTGTTCTCGTCGTCGTCATCTTCGTCGTCGTCGTCGTCACCGTCGCCATCACAGTCGCTGTCGTCCACGTCGTCCACTCCGTCCGTGCATCGCTACAACGGTTCGTTCCGTCGTCCCAACCACAACAACGTCGAAACCTGCGAGGCCATCGAATGGGAAGTCATGTCCAAACACTTTGCCAGGTAAGCGATATCTTTGTATTTATACGTATATGTATATATCTTCAAGCTGACTACTACAGTTTTTCCAAAGACTAACCGCAAAGATTTCACCACTTGGTGGATGGGCGATTGGGTCGTGGTGAGGATCAAGGGTACATGAGTGGGTTACGTTTAAATTGTATCATCGTTTTCTTGTCATCTGATTTCGAAGGTTTTTACAATTTACACTCAAAAAGCAGAGTAGAACCCTGATTTTAGTCAAATTATTATAAGTGTTAACTTTAATATGCTAATAATATTATCAACACGGCGCAGTTTTTTACCGTAGTTTGCGATCGCGTTTTACCTATAATCGAATCACAAATTTACTTCGAATGAGAATTACATTGTCACCTTAAACTTTTGACGGTAATACCTATGTTTATATAATGTGTTTATGATCAACAAAATACGTCTGTATTTGTTAAAGTATATTATAGCATATTTTTGAAGAAATATTTAATTTGTTTTACTCCAAATACTGTCTTGTGGCAACGAAGGTTATTAGGTACTGATATTAAGATAACCATTTGATAAATGTCCTATTTATGGAGTTAAAATTTATCTGAATTCTGTCGGAATATGGGTTATAATGTCGTTTGGTACTTTTGTAGGTACTCACTACAAATATTACAATTCAACAATTGTCATTTATATTTCCCATGTTAGATAAGAAAGGTTTATTGATGTTTCTCCAGATTAGATCTGGCAATGTCACATCTCAGTGACTGAATTGACGAATGAAAGTATTTTTAATGGTTGTTTTTAGTTATTTTTTAAAATATTTTATACACAAAGCTTTATTCTACATTAATAAGTTAGTTTAGAGCTCAGATTTTTATGTACTAAAGAGTTTCAAAAGATTCCGTATAGTTGCTTCAAAATTTAATAGCTTATACATTTATGACTCAAAAATAATTTAAAACAATAAATAATCTATAATTTAATAATCACGTCTTAGAGCCTACAAAATGTACTATTAAATGTTATGCTAGACAAAATATTATTTTATACATTTTTTTAAAAATTGTTTCTAATGTGCAATACATTTTGAATTTTGTCAAAATATGCAGAAATATATGCAATAACTATTAAAAAAATTCGACATTTTGGCTTCAAACTATCAAAATTCGTAAAGATTACTGACAATAAATCCCGAAAATGTGAAAAAGAAAAAATATGCAATTGCATAAAAATCCAAGTTCTAGGCTTATAAATCAAACGTTAATACTATACACTGTACATTACATCTTACGTTAAAAAATAATTATTTTTTCATTTTTTAATAGTTAAAAACTTTAACTTTAACAGTAACATGGATAACCTAGTATTCATAAATGAAAGTTAGGGTTAGTATTTTATTCAAGAAAATCGTCAAAAACGTTTTAAAATAAAATACAAACCTTACATATCACATTATTATCTATACTAAGATATTAAGAACAGACGTACTATAACTAAAAATTGGGGAAGTCGTCTGAGTGTGTCTCGTCATTGAATGTCACATTAATAGATGTCTTAAGAAGGAGTATAGTATATTTTAAAATAGTATAATATATTTTATAAGAACCTTTTATGTACTATGTAAAAAATCGAATTTTTTTATACTAATTTATAACAAAATTAGTTATTCTTTCTGGCTTGACATTTTAAACTGATGTTTTGGACACTAAAGTATAAAAAATAAATTGTAAATTATTATCATATTTTCTATTTGTTAATTAAGATTTATGATGTTATTTTTATTATTTTTCAAACAAATCGTGTACCTAGATAGGACATCATACCCGCATGTTATGTTGTCTCCGTCTATATAACAGTAGATGGGTATACCAAAATATTCTAGCAGTTCCAATTATTTGTATTGTTAGCTTAAATATTAGAGCGAATAATTGTCAAACTTATGTGTAAGAACATTAGCTGTGTTTTCTCGTTGGTTTTTTACGATATTTTAATTTTTAACTGAATATAAAATGTATATGAGCTTTTTCAAATACGAATGTATTCTACATACTCATTATAGCTCACTTAAAAATTAAAATATGATTGAATACAATGTTTTTACATATAAATTTGAGAATAGGTTAATTCGCTCTATATTTAAGCTAACAACTTAAAATTTAAACTGCTGGACGACAAAGACGACCCATCCGGGTACGACGTTCTCTCAAATAGGTACATTAAATTTAAACCATTGGAACATTTTTTATGAATTTTAGTATACTATATTATTGTGATACTTTTACGATGTAGATTGCCACCATTTATCAAAGACAAAAATGCAAAACAGTTCAACAGCGGACATCCACAAACGAACATACCACAACATCATCATTTACAATATTATAGCGACCTGCACAAATTGCATCAGGTGGCATACGTAAGTGGCATAATAAAATAATAATAATTCATTGCATAAAAATGTTATCGAAAAAACTGTTATTTGATAAGTGAACGAAATTCGTGTCTCTATTTTCGTCGTCAGTTAATCATCGCCATAACTCATAATCAAGAATAATATAATAATGTTAATATTGTCATAGATAGTAAAATAATGGATAGACGATAGGCCATTCCTATATTAACAACATAATAGGGTTTGCGGGCCGCAATGTGGATAAGAGACAGACTGCTTTTATATATTGCTCTCACTCTATAAAGGGGTTTTATCTCATTAGTTGTATTTGTTAAATAATTGATAACACTCCTCGAAACTTCAAAATATCAAAATGTTCATTCCTGCTTGATAAGATTTGATGGCCTATTCATTCTTATATTGTCTATGAATATTGTCAACGACCCGTATTATATTATATAGGCCACCAGAAACACTACACCTAGGAAACCGATGGCGGCGATGGCGGCGGCTCATCAGCCGTGCTGCAAACCGTGGCAGTGGAGTCCTTACGGAGGACCCGCCGGTACGTTTATGAACGCGTATTACTTATCGGAGCCACAAAGGTACGACAATCACGCTAAGAACGTTGTCCTGGAAGACTCACTAATACAAGTGGACGAGGCAGACAAAGTAATTTACACTGTATAATAATATAATTTTTACCATTATTATATTAGTGGCCTATAGAAACTTACTAGGATAAAAAGAAAAACAAGAATACCTACCTTATATTAAGTTCTCATATTAAAATTTTACATTATGTTCTTATTTTCTTAAGATTTTTGACCAAGTCTAAAATTGTTTATCAACAGAAAAAAAACTCGAAACAAATTTGAAATGCCTGTGTTTAGTTTCAATTGAGTCTAAATATGTAGAAGATTTCATTTAGTACCTATAGACAATGGACTTTTCATGTTTCTACGATTTATACTTTTTGAATTACAACAATAAAATTAAAACCCTTTGATGAGAAATCGTTTTCTTTATGCTTGAGTTTAAAATTTCGTTGAAAAATATTTGCGGAATCACGCTCAACCTGAGTTTTTATTATTTCATAATTACTCTAGCAATAAAAACTTACGATGAACCTTGTATACATTTTCAAATCTTGGGTGCTTATGAATGTTAAAAATATTAAGGGGTCAGGGGTTCCCTGGGGTTTCCCCTAGATTCCACCCTGTATATAAATATATTATAAATATATATTTATATTTATATAATATATTTATACATCTCCATAATGTAATAATATTACTGTGGTTATCACTATTTTTATCATCGGCATCGTATTCATTATCATGACGCGTTTCAGTTGTCGTCGGAAGTCTGGCACATGTACTTGGACAACCGTCAGTCCGAGGGCGTTTACGAAACGAAGATGGCCATGTGGCGCCGGCTGTCGGCGCTGATCAAGAGCTGGGCGCCCGGCTGCGGCCTGTACCTGGTCGGGTCTACGATGAACGGTTTCGGTGGCGACGTGAGCGACGCGGACTTCTGCCTGCTCACTGGCTGCACGGCGGCCGCGGTGGTAGACACCGGAGTCCGGCAGCACAAGACCGTGACCGAGGAGCGGCACCGGATATGCGCCGTCGAGCGGCTCCAGTGGCTGATGGGATTGCTAGACCACGAGCGGATCAACGGCAAGGTCGGCACCGCGGAAATGCGCATCGTCTACGCCAAGGTGCCCATACTCAGGTTCCGGTGGATCGGCGACGGTGGCAGCAAGATGGACGTGGACTTTTGCTGCAACAACGTGGTGGGCATCCGCAACACCCATCTGTTGTACTGCTACTCGAGGCGTGAGTTGGACGTTTTTTATTGTTTTCATATTATAGCATAATAATTCATTGTATAGTGAAATAGTTATGTTCAATAATTTAACAGTTTTATATTAATAGGTATATTATTATTATGTATTACATATAGACATAAATTATAATATGATAATTATAAGGTACCAGTATATGTAAAATTGTTATTAACCATAGTCGAGTGTAATACTTATCATATGATCATTTTATGTAAGTCGATTAAATATTGTTCAACTACTATACAATATGATAGTTTGGTATAGATTAATAGTTAGAAGTTGTCCTACTAAAACCTCCTAGTATTATTATCTACATACCTAATGCATAATTCAATGGCGTATCTAAAATCTGGACCTAAGGAGTGGGGACGTTAAACATTTATTAATATAGTATTTGGAAGGGACTAAACATGAATCAAGTTCTTTAGTTTTTGATTTAACAGATGTATAATTTATTAATTTGCGTAACTTATTACGTATTTATACGTTTGGTTGATCTGCACTAGATTATCAAGGCGGGTGATAACGTTCTTTTCATTATATAATACATATTCGGTTTTTCTCTTTACCCCTGCCCAGTGTATCGTGTAATTTGTTTTTGTTGGTTTTGCAGTCGATTACCGGGTCAGACCATTGGTAGTGACCATTAAATTGTGGGCGTCCCGTCACAACATCAACGATCCGAAAAAAATGACGCTGTCCAGTTACTCGCTAGTGCTGATGGTTATCAATTTCTTGCAAAGTAAGATATAAATATACTTCTATTGTACTTATAAGTTATAACACATATTATGAAAAAATTACAAAATTCTGCGCGATGACGATGAATGATGATTTATTATTATTATGGAAATCTACAATAAAAAATAATTATAAGGTACAACGTTCGTGGCTGGTCGATCGTCAAGATCTAAATATTATATCTGTACCTTTAAACAGTGTTTGAATTAGGAATTATTAAGTAGGGAAGCTCAATCCAACGATCTGAAAACTGCGTTCCAAGTGCTTTTGCGCTTTTTAACACAGACTCGTGTGGAGGGCTTCGCCCCCCACAATACCAATCCCTCAATTTTGAATACTACGTTATATCATTTTACCTTTACTATATTAAAAATGTAATATTTATAACTATGTAACTAATGTATAAGTAAATATAGATTTTTTTTTATTCAAAAAATACATCGGCAACAAAGGCTATTAGTGTGGTTGCCATTTGATTTTAGTCAGTTCTTTAATTTGGTTTTTTATGTCTGCGAATGAAGTGATATTCAATATGGGGATATCTGTGTATTCTGCTGCTTTCTTAGCTTCTTGATCTGCCTTTTTATTGACCTCTATGTCGCTGTGCCCCGGGATTCATACTAGTGAAATTTTGATTCCTGTTTTATATGCTAGACTAATTTTTTCCAGTATAAGTTTTGTTACATCTGAGGTGTTGAAGGGGTTTTTGAGGCTCCTGAGTGAGGAAAGAGATTAGATTGCTTTTATGGGGGTTTCCATGGCCATGGTTAAGTGATATATGTTCTACTGTTTTGAGTATAGCTATGGCTTCTGCCGTGTATATAGAGCAGCATTCAGGAAGTTTGCGTCTGATAGAGAAATCTTGGTTAATAATTGCGATTCCCACAACTTTTTCTGATTTAGAGGCATCGGTGTAATAACAATTAGCATTTTTGTGTTCCTGGAGTATTTCGTTTAAGTGGTTCTTGTAGATCTTAGGTGGGGTGAGTTCTTTTTTGAATTTTGTTAATTCCAGATTTATTTCAATATTGTGGGACCATGGGGGGAAATCGAGGGGCTAAACTTTCGTTATCGCATTAAATTCTATGCCATGATTTTTAGCGTACTCGGTAATTTCTGTAATAAATTTGTTTGCTGGGTTGCCAGAGTTTCTTGTGATGCTAGCAGCGTAGAGTAGTGATTTTTCTTTGTGTTTAAGCTCAAATGGGGGTTCGAGTGCTAGGTTTCGAATGCTTTCAATAGGACTAAAAATATAGATTTAAATTCACCTTAGTTTTCGACATTTTTTCAATTGCATTTCATACATTTGGTGACTTTGAAAAGACATTTTTTGATATTATTATAATTCCTATCATAATAGCAATTTAGGAGGAAAACCAAAAATTGTGTTTAATCCATAAAAAAGATAGAAAAAATATTTTTGATACTAAAAAGTATAAAATTCATTGAGTCCAATTCCAAAGTATACCATTGACAACAATTTAAATCCTCTTAACATTTTGATAATAATGATTTCAAGCATTAGTTTGTGCCGTTTCTTAGTCCAAATAAAAGTAACAGTTGAGGTACGTAAAAAAAAAATAAAAATAGTTAAGGAGCTCCGCCGCCCCCTGCTCATCACTTCCCGCCAATTTGAGCATTGCTTATATATAATATTTACATAATATTATATTATAATTGCTATTCACAGGCGTCGAACCACCCGTGTTACCGTCCCTGCAGTGCATATACGGCATGAAGTTCTCGTCCTATACAGACATCGAATTCGTTCACATGCACGAACAATTGCCTAGCAGTGGTTGGAGAAGTGACAATAAACAGAGCCTCGGAGAGTTGCTATTGCAGTTTTTCGAATACTATAACGATTTCAAGTAAAAATGATGTATAATATTGAGTATAGTTATAATTTTATAAGTTAGTGTGCGTGTGTGTGTCATTGTGTCAACCTATTTTTATTATAACTATTATTTTATTATCATTTTTCGCCGTAGAGCTCAGAACTTAAAAGTACAAATATGTTTTAAAAATATGCACTTATTTTTTATTTACTCACAATTTTGGTAAAAACAATTATTTTACTAAAAAGTATTTTTGTATTTTATAATTTTTTCTAAATATTTAGAATAGTTATACATTACATTTTTTTTTATCGCCAATTTTTCAAATTTTCAAATTGTATTATTAATTTATCATTAATCATCAATTAATATGCTCTAAAAAATTGTTAAATCAAGAAATATACTATTTAAACCACAAAATCACTAAACATGCAAAAATATGTGTTATAAACTTTTAATATTTTTTTTTGTAGTGTTGTGAAAATAGTTTAAAGCGTACTTAGCAATTAATCTAACTGCCCTGAAAACATGCAAGTGTAACTACTTCCAACCCTTAAATTTATAGATATTTGACATGTGCTATACGCCAGGGAGTATACATACTTAAATTAAAAAAGGAAGCAATTTTAATTTTAAATTTTATAACGAAATTCTTTCATTTAAACAACTGCTGGAGCAAATATCGAATCCAATGGGTACAATTAATATTTTTTTTTTATATTTTAATAAATAACCCACTTTTGAATACAATATTACAATATACTGTAGCACGTATTGTTCATTAATTGTATAAAATGTCCGAACTTTTAAAATTAAATGATTAATTATTTATAATTTAAAATTTATTAAATATTAATGCTTACATGTCGGTTTATTAAGTTATGGTCATTTTAAAATGTACCATTTTATAAAAGTCATAACTTACTTAAAAATAATATTTTCAATAACAGCCAGCGTATAACTCTAAATAATAATCTTACCTTTAAGTTGTATAATAGATCAATTCTCTTAGAGAATTTCTCTCTAATATCAAAACTAACAGCACACTGTTGAATCTGATGAACAAAAATTTTCTACATCGTACGTGTAAGACGGAGACGAAACATGCGGGTTCGACGTCCTCTTAATGAAATATTTTTGAAATCATACTAGTGTTTCTTTTTACATAAAAATTGCATATTAAAAAGAAAAAATTGATATAAGTTATAATATAGTTTTCCATATCAAAATAATAATGATGCTTGTTTTTTAAATCCTATTTTATATAACTATATGACAATCAATAACCTAACCACGTAGGTATCCATAGATCAATAGAATTTTGAAAATCAAAAAGAAATATTCTAAAACAAAAAAATTGACTCATTTTCGGAAATTTAAGAAAATATGATCTCACTTACCAAATGCAATACGGGTAGATGATAAATGTAGATAATTATTTAATTATACTTTAGATTTTATTAGTACCTACGGTTTTGATTATACCTAATTATATAATATACCTATTTATAGTTTTTATAAACTCGCGGTGTCTGTGAGAATGGGATCACCGATACCTCTAGAAAGCTGTCGGATGGCTGACGCGGCAAAAAACAATCCTGGACAATGGAAATTCATAGGGATCGAAGGTATGTACCAAAAACATTTATTATATTTTATCATTATGTATTCCATTTTATAGTCACAACACGCAACCCAAACTACTATTATCACTATCCAGCATTTTGAGTTGCACAGTCGTAATAAAATGTAACTACAAATAATTATAATAATTGTACATACCTACATTAAATGGTTTATTATGGAATTTAAAAATATAAGAGGCACTTAGAAATATAAGAGAAACTTAAAATTTAATAATTTAATAGTATATTGATATTTGATCATATTTTTACTAAATATATTAATAAATAAATTATTCCTATAAGATTTAAAACTTTGCTACAAGCTAACCAACGATACATCTATTTTCGTCCTGTGTATTAGAAATTTAAAACTTGAGAAATTATACCTTATCAGCCGGTATACTAATAAAGATGTGATGTGCATCAAACTTTGGCTAAACGGTATTAAGATGATTTCTTAGAGTTATCTAAAATGCACAATTTTTAATTAAATTGTTTGATACCTTGATTGTCAATGTTGTCTTAATTATAATTATTTTTTCATTTTTCAGAACCTTTTGAAAAAACAAACACAGCACGGTCTGTGAATAACCATAATGTATTTTCTCAAATCAAAGAAGCCATCACTAATAGTTACAATCAGTTAAAAGAAACGATGTCATTGGATTCAATATTTTGTTAGTTTATAATGTATCAAAACCGAAAAAAAAACAAAAAAAAAAAAAAACAACAAAATTACTAGAAAAAAAAATTTATGAAAACGACAAGAAAACTTCGTGTGGCTTTCGTATGACATTATAATACAGCGTATACTTACTTTTTAAGAAAGGAAAACTCGGGAAACCGTGTGTTAATGAAAAAAAAATGTACAAAAACGCATATAAAAAAAAATTGTTTTAGCGAATACAAAAATTAAGTAAAAAAAAAAAATGTTTGGATTTATAGCACTTAAGTATTATTATATTATATTATATATTGTTGAGTTTATATTTAAAAGAAAAAACCTCCGCATGAACTCCGTCAGTCGAATTTAAAACTTTTTAATTTGTTACTAATCTTATATAGATATATATTACGTATAATATTATTATGCAATTAAATCTGTGCTCTTGTATAGGTAGCTAGTTACTGTAGGCATTGGAAAACATTTGCAAGCGCAATCCTGTATTTAGTAAAATTTATCACTGTGTTGACTACGACGTATTTTGAATTATACATACATAGATTCTAGAATAATGTGTGCGTTATTATATTAATCATCTTTATTAATAAATATTTTTTCGAACGATCTGAAAAAATGTTATTAATTCTGTATTATTTTAGTTTAATATAATTATGATACTTTACCGGGTCGTGCATATCCTGCAGTCGTGCCAAGAAGTGATATGCCAACATAGAAACTTTATCTATATCTGTTCTCTTTTCTATATTGTATGCATTTATAAATATAATATATTATGTTATTATTTAGCCATTGACTACAAGTGTCTATGCCAGTTGGTTATTATCTATTTTCGCTATGTACTTGTAGATATAGATAAATAATGATGTATTGTTATCCTAACCAGTATTGAGTGGTATGCAAGGTATATTCTGTATATTAGAAAAATATATTTGCCATAAGTACTAAGATTCATAAACATATTACTTATTATGCTCCATTTGGTATAAGTTATTCCTATAATTAACTGAACTTGTAAAACTTTACCAAAATTGTAAATTGTAAAATCTGTTGACAGTGATACAAGAAATATTTAACCGATTTACCAATTTATAATTAAATGGTGTAACAAGAGTTAGCTGTTGTAATTTGTAAATATCAGTTTGTTTGCGGAAATTGATGATTTTAAGAAGCTTGACGCAAATTAAAGTATAGCCTACTTAAGTAAAGCTTTTTTTTTAAATTTTAAAGTTAAGGTCATTTTGTGTTTTGTCTGTTGAAATACAAGTATGAATTAGTAGGTAATAATAATTAATAAATATCTACGCAGATGTTTTCATAATTATTACGAATGTAATTTATTACCGATGCATGTGGCATGTCAAACACAAAATTACGATTTCGCGGCGTTGCAGATAAATACTAAGCCTACACCTTTGTTGAACACAGACGTTGTTTTTTTTGTAAATGGAAAATTTAAACAACAACTCTCGTGTAATGTATTTAATGTTTTAAATCAAAGCCTTTGCATTTGCACATCTTTAAAACGCGTGTATATTTTAAAAATAATTTCTTCTTGCACTTCTAGAATCTAGATCATACGTATGATGAAGTTGTCCGACCCAATTGTGGAGTTTTTTCGGACAGATTGAAATCAATTAGCAATTAAATTGTACAACACTATAAGATCGATCCCCGAATTTGTAATACACGCCATAGTGGATTTAAATCTAAAAAAGAGACAAAGTACGTATAACTGCACTGCAGTATAGTATAAGTCATGTGTAATATATGTCAGTGGCGTATTTAGGTTTTTGTTTTTTTTTAAGGGATATATATTTTTCATAGGTACATACCACAGTGTACTGCAGAGTACAAACACTGAAATTATGGGTTTTTTACTATGCGAAAAAAGTATCAAGCAATATGTTATAATATATTTATATATGTAGATAATGTATATTATAATAATCACGTATGATTAAGGAAAATAATTATTTTTGTTATAGACTAAACAACGGATCCCGATATGTCTTGCCAAAGGCGTAATCTGTTACTGTTTAACATCCCTTCGGCCATACGTGTCCTGTCTCCATCAATTGACAGGTACTTCGGGTCACTTAAGCTTGCGTTAATCCATTTGAAACTTAAATCTGACGAATTGGGATCGCTAAAAAAAAAAACCTCGAACGTAATGATTCGCTTTAGTCCCGTCCAAACACATAATTGTGATAGAGTCATAATATTTATATACTATACGAATTTAAGATATTCATCAACATACCCCGATTTTGCGAAATTGGACCACATCTTACCCATCGTCTTACACATCTCGAGTTCCGGAGAGTTGGGTTTTGGGAGGACCCCAGATAGTTTATTATGGAACAAATAATAAATTTCGTCCGCATGACATGCACCTGTAGGTATGAGAAATCGAAATTGTCTTAAATCGTTATTCCAGTGTTCAATAAAAATATTGTTTTGGGTTCAATAAAGTGAAACAAGTTGTATGGTTATTTAATGTAGGTACATATAAATAGGTAGTACTTAAGAGTTAAGACACTATATATTATATTTTGAAATAAAATATGTAAGAGTGTTACAAGTTTTTTAATAATAACCCAAATATTTTTTTCATCTGCAAGATCGGAATAAATACAAACATTTTGACGTAGGTGAAGACAAAAATAGGTATTCGACAAATTAAATGTATTTAAATAGAAAAAAAATTCCCACAGATAGTTATATTGTCATATCGATTGGGATAACATTAAATAGATCTTAGATCCTTGGACTAAGGTAGGTAATACTATTTTAATAACTAATAACCTTTTATGGCTTGACGAAGTATTGGTCTCGTAGCAAAAACCATGTTTTTGACAGCGTTAAGTTCTCCGTCGAATTTGAATTCGTATTTGTAAACCGGTGAGACGCCTTGTTTCAGGAAATTATCGAAGCCACGATAAAAGTCTTTGACAAATAATACATCACTGTGCAACTGCGTATTGGTATAAATATATAATAATTACATATCTATAGAACCGAAGTTTTTTTGACAGATAACAAAATTAATTTAAATGTAAATGTTTTTAATAATCTATCATATTTTATAAATAAAATAGTCATTTACACATATAATTGCAGTTGTCTGTTGATTAGTTATTATATTATTAACAATACATTGTGCTTACGTGACATATTTGTTCCAATTTTGTTGTTTCAGATTCAATACTACATTTATTGAAATAAAAATCTTTTATTTTAGTTATGACTTCAGTGCTGTACCGATTTTTAAGCAGTTCTGATATTTCATCTGTTATGCGATCATCGGAAAATTGACCTATTCTGTAATCTAAATGTGAAAACATTACGGTTAATATTTAAAATGGGTACTTCTTTTCTATTAACTCTCATTCAATATGATACCTGCAGTTAACGTGTATAATGAATTAATAAATATAATAATAATACCAGCTATTATCTATAAAAAATTTATTTTTAAATACCTACATATTTTTCCATACTCATCTTCGTATTAATTGTGAAATTTTATTTTATGAAATAATTTTGATCTTAATGGCCTAAGTTTATTTGATTTCATTGCATTATACAGGAATTATGTTATACCACTTATACCTACGTATATAACTCATCGCTACGTAATATTTGTAATTATTTAAAAAAAAATGAATGTTGTGTATGTTTCAGATAAAATGTAGTTAAACAATATTAGGTAAGTACATTGTTTTTTATTATAATTTAATTAAAAATATATTTACCACTTAATGCTATAATCCCTTCCATATTGTTAAGGCCAATGATTACGGGTACTGGAGTTGTATCGTTGACTAATTGTTTAGGATGAGCCGGTAAAAATGGATTACCGACCCTGTCACTTTCAATAGATGGTACGAACTTGTAATCCATAAAAGCTGTTTCATCCTTAAAAAATAAATAATAATGAATAATATTATTATCTATACCTAAATACCTTTTTATTTCACAAACAGGGCGGATCGTTTGCAAAACACATAATATATAATACCTTAGTATAAAAAACCACGTGTAAGACGCAATAATTTTCTTTCTTAAAATATATTTTTGGACAGAATAGTTATATTGTGTTCACTTTATAATTGTATTATGATCCTGATGATTTTTCTAACTATGTGTTAAAAAGTTCCCGATCTTTAAGTTAATCCTGTAGGCTGTAACTGCATCAAGTATACCGATTCTTTTGGTCTCAGTTCCAGATCCTCATAATTATAATTTTTATACTCGGAAGTTCTGTACAAATTTCATGGTAAACGTGTGAGCTTCTCAGACCGAATGATAAAGCTTAAGCTTAGGTACAAAAGTTCACCACAGGCACCATCGTCCGCTTATTTGAATGCTTAATGTCTCTTTCGGCTTTAGTTCAGTCGCATCAAGGTATAGTCATCACGCACGCACATAATATTATTGTAGATTTTAATACCTCCATTCGCCATTATCCTCGCTCATAGACGGGATTTATTCCAACGATTTCATGATCAAACATCTATGAATGAAGAACTGCAGAACTTTTGTCAAGATTTGAAGATGAATTTATGTTAAAATGAGTAAACCTACACACTGTGTTGAGTCCATATTATATCGTACATATTTTAACTAATTTGCTCAACACTAACAGTGTCATTTAGGTTTTAGGCTATAGATGCGAATTATATAAGCATACTTATTACAAATATTGTTTTTGTGTATTATTATTTATTATTATTTAGAATAATTATTTTAATTTTTATTGATGCCCGTGGATAAACAGAACCTATTAATGTTCTCCACTTATCAAGTTGTACCTATTACGTAACAAGTTACAATATTTTCCTTCGTGTTCATATACCTAGGTCGATACCTGTCGGCTGTCACTGCCTAGGTAGTAGGTACCAGTGAAGAAACTCATTAAAAGTCAATATTTACAAACCTTAAATTGTGTTCCTTTCACCAAATCAATGGCAGGTACGTTTTTTAAGTATTTTACTATTTCCTCGGGATCACTACTTGAACATCCTACATTTTTGGCCAACTTAAATGCTGTAACTTTGTGATCTTCATTGAACGCCCATGGATTAAAGGCACATCCACTTTGCATGATTGCCTTTTGGAATAAACCTTAAATAATAACAAATTACCAAAGTTAACGGTTATCATCGTGTTCTATAACCTAACCGCGATAACAATATTCATATCGATCATAGACATCAATAGAATAAACCAGGAATGGTACAAAATGTGTGAAGCTAACATGACCATATAAATCCGTGAATTTATCATAGAGAGATCGGAGGGTGTCTCAAATAGATTATAACCAGTATTGGGTAATAACATAATAAAACTACAAAGTAACTGGTTACAGTAAAGGCGTTACTTTGTTTGTAACATGTTACGTAATTTCAATAGAATTATTTTTAAGTAACGAAGATACTTTTGGTAAATTATTTCTAGAATACCTACCAATAAAGTATTATATAACGTGTTACAATTTTGAATTAATTAGTACCAATTATTGCGAATTGAAAAAAAAAAATTAAAAATTAAAAATATATCTATAAAGCAGGTATTATTACGGTATACCTGCAATCTAATATCTAATATAATATAATATATTATATTTAATTTACTCTCCACAATGAAGTTTCCAATGGTTTTGACACGTCTAATATTACGCCTTAATAATTACGAGAACAGTTAATTAAATGTATTATTTAATTTCAATTATATTGCTCTAAAGCAGGGGTCGGCAACTGGCGGACGTGGTCCGCATCTGGACCGCGGAAGGCAAAACTCTGGACCCTGTCAACATGTATATTATTTCTTCAGTTCTTCTTATTATTCGTTCAATATGTTGAGTAAGATACTCAAAATTGAAAATTGACATCGAAAATAGGAAGTTTATGAAAGAGTGGACAGAACTATATTGTTTTGTATTGCCTGAAAGGGTTGAAGCCTTTCCAGTCTGTTTAATTTACAATTCAGGACTCCAATAGAAATTACTTGCCGACCCCTGCTCTAAAGTCTAAATAGGTACAGAGAACGTTTCCAATGAATACCTAGCGTATCCGTTTTTATACTTTCCTATTAACTATTATTAAGTTGAACGTGAATAAATGCCAATCCGTGTTCTTCACCAGATCCCGTTCTTTTACTCTTCACACCTACTCGACTAATTATATCAATCTAACATTGATCAGTCAAAAAAAAACACCGGGTGGTTCTATTTTTCTCAGATCTCAATTTTCACCATCATATACTATCAATAAGTTGTAAGGCATAAAAGACGTTAGGATTCATAAAACGAATACCGTCAGACTCTCTCCAGTCTCCAGAGCCACCGAGCGCACTCTTTTGATCATTAGTGCGACCTCTGTTTGAATATGGTTCAGTTCTCTGGTGTCCTCACACAGCCTCTGACTCTGCAATCATTGAGCTAGTTCAGAGGCGCTTTCTATCTTATGCGGGTAACTTGTTGAATACTCCCCATTTGATGCATGGCTACTCCATGAACTCAGTATTTCAATGCTAGCCGACAGAAGAGTTGATAGTAGCTTGGACTTTCTCAAAAACCTCATTGATGGCTCTGCCGATGCTCCCACGCTCCTTTCTCTTATCAACTTTCGTGGCCCTCCACGTCGGACCCGCTTTACCACCAGTTTTGCTATCCCAATATGCGCGCCACCAACTACAGTTCGAACAATCCTATTCACCACATGACGCACCTTGCTAATGTCCACTCATCGTCTTCACCCTAATTTAGAAACCTGGTTCCGTTTCACTTCCATTAAATTTGTTACTTGTATGTAAGATTTAACTTTCATTTAGGTACTGCACTTTGGGCTACGCTCGTATTTCTTAAAATTAAAATAAAATAAAATAAAAATATATTGGCTTCAATATGTATTACACATTTACACGTAACACCTATCATTCCTCGTCTATTATACTATACGTCGTCATTTGTTCGGATTTCTTGTAGTAGTTGATAATTGATAAAACAGCATAAGCATAAGTGCGACAATATTATCCTCGTTCTCTCTTGTTTTTTAAACACATAAGTAGATATTTTTGTGCAATTATTTTATTCACAAAACACTCACTTATTGCTGCGGGGTTTAATATAATGATGAATTACGATTTTATGTTTTATACATTTATGTTGTACGTAGTAGCAATATTGAAATATTGAAATTTAACCTGTGGATTGTGGAGACATCGTGTGATAATGAACAGATGCTGACCCAGCACTTTCACCGAAGATAGTGATATTGTCGGCGTCACCCCCAAACGCAGCTATATTTGCTTTTATCCATTTGATTGCAAATAGTTGATCTTTCAAGCCCATGTTACCAGGACACTCATCAATATCCAAGTTTAGAAAACCTAAACACAAAATCTGTGATGAATTTTGTTAGTTGCATTATTATATTGAACTGACGTAACCATTGAGTATAGGGTGAGGCAACATCGGGTGATTTAGGACTAAAGGCGCGATGATATCAAACTTACCTATAGGTATACTAAGTTACTTATACTACTTTAGTATACTAATGCCTAACATAAAATCCACTAAATATATAAATTTTTGTTTACTTCGTTCCCACAAAAACTAGAAAAATTAATATGTACGTTTTATTTTAAATTATACATCATAATTAAAAAATATTTATTTGGCTCAAGGTGGTGAAAGTAATAATTTTAATCTAGGTATGGATACTGAATATACATAAATTATATTTATTTAAAATATCTGTATTAATGTATTTTTTGTTTATTTTAATAATAATAATAATAATATAATAATTAAAACAATATAAAACCATCCATACCCTACCTATATATATAACGTTTAGACTAGTGCACTACTTAAAATGTGCTACATTATTAGACTATAATGACTCGTAATTAGTAATTATTACTTTGTTTATTGTTACTATCCATAATTTAAATTTTTTTTAAATTATTATTTATTTTAAATAACATTTTTTTAAATATATTTTATTAATAATTCCATCATTTTATAAGCTTTTTAATATTTTGAATAGCATTACATGACTGATTAAATTTTACAATTAATATTTCATAGCTAAATAATTTTCTTCAGATTTTTTCTGTACCGATTTTAAAATGTATAGTCTGTTTTAATTAAGTATTTAATTACTAGTAAATGTAGATTGATATTTTGCGGAACCGGAGACCCAATGTACCACACCACTTCGCTCACATACCTAAACCTATACTGGCTATACTTCGAATACTCATAAGTTGTAACTACCAAAATTGATGCATATATATATATATATAAACATGTTAAGATACCTATATATTCTGCTCCAGAGTATAAAATTAAAAATGTATATTGAGAATTTTAAAAAAATATTTTTTTCTCAAAACTGACTTCGGGCTATTATTTTCAAAAAAATTATGATTTTTTAAAGAGATGAATTCATCTTTTAAGTTTAGAAACTGTTAAAAGAACGCCCGTGTATATGTCAATATACCGAACAATAATAGCAGGTATTTAAATCTGTAAACAATCACCTAAGACGTTCAAACGATAATTCATAGTGACGACAATCACGTTCTCGTCTAACAAGTAATCGGGGCAGTGTTCATTTACTGATCCACAGCCAAACTTAAAGGCTCCTCCGTGTATGAACACCATAACAGCAAGTTTTTCATGCAGTTCGTTCTGCTAATAACAGTGAGTTACGATCATAATGCACACGAATTAAAAAAAACTATACAATAAAAAAATAATATTATAAGGTACAAGCTGTTTTTACGACCTGTGGGACCAATACGTTCAGGTATAGACAATCTTCGCTTCCTATGATGTGGTCCGTCATGAAAGCGTACTGCATGCATTTGTTTCCTTCTGAAATAGCTTCTAGAACACCGGACCATCCCGGGTGTTTGACTGGAGCCTATAAAATCAAATCTTCGAGTATGATTTTAAACACTATCTGCATTCAATACTATCTATAGACTATATTTAATCTAAAATTAGAATTAAATTATAAGACGTATATATGGTGTATAATTTAAGAAAAATTAATTAATTATTAGTTTTTATCATAGTAATCCAATGTCTTCAAAAACGTAGTTTGGCAGAATCTATATATATATATGTATTACATATTATAATCGAACGTGTTCTGACTGACTGACTGATCATTGATCAACGTTGAGCCTATAGAAATAACAATGATGGGGCTTAACATTTTGACAGTAGCTTTGTGGTGTGCCACCATGTAATGATACATAAAGAAAGCATTAATCCAAAATTCGCATTTTAAAGAGGTGCTCACACTAGCATTTTGATGGATTCACGAATTCACGTTGGACATCGACATTTTTTTTTCGTTTATAAATTATTGCCATTGGTTACTGATTAGAATAGTAATAATAGAAATTAGTTTAATCTGTTTATATATATATATATGAATGGTAACCAAATGCCAACGGTTACATAAAATGTCAATTGTTTATTTTTGGTTTTTTTAGTTGTTTTTTTTTTTGGTTGCTATTGGTTACATATATATTATAATTACCCAGTAGAAATAAAGCATTTTTTTTTTATATAACAGTTTTTTTTTACAAATATTTAAAAAAAAAAAATCTCGGGGAACACTAGGCGAGACAGTAAGTATTTTATTAACACATTTTACTATAGCAAAGCTTTTAAAACATGAGTTAAAATTCCATTATCCATTAGTCGACATTTTTTCTGGGCAAGGGAAAGATGAAAGCGAGACGGGAGGCCCAGGATCTGAAAATCTGTAAAAAAAATTAAGTTTTGAACTAAAGTAGTTTCGCCTATGCCCATCACAGATCACCTGCAGAGTTGATTCGGAGAGTGCAGGATCCTAGTCATCCCACTCTCTGAACTACTTTAGTTTAAAACTTAATTTTTGTACAGATTTTCATAATCAGTCTTTTAAAATTAAATGAAAATACATTAAAGCCCAAATGCCATAATTGCCCAAGTCGTGTTACCCGCTAACACATCGACATGGAAAACCATAGACGTAATATAAATATTATTATGTCTATAAAGAAAACATTTTACAAATTATTTTTTATTTTCCATTTTTATAATTTTATTATACTAGACAAATGGCGTCACCAGTTTATTCCTATTTTATCCCTCAATATTTCGTACACAAGAGTTGGGTCCATAATAGATAAAACAATTCTTAACACCTGTTCTGCGATATTATACCTATATGCTCTTTCGATTTTCATTAAAAAAACAACATGAAATTGGACAGAGAGATCTCATTTTCACATTTATAAAGATAGATGGATTTAGATATATTATGATTTATGACATATTATTATGTGTCGTAGTAATGTGAAGGCCATTTGTCACATGATATTATATTATATTGCGTTAAAAAATTAGTAATAACGATAACACACAGACTACAGTGTATCCTAAACTTTACTAAGGATACTGTTACTGTATCTAATAACTTTTTACCAAATCAACTAATATATGTAATGTGATATACCTATAGTAGTGTATAATATATTGCATAATGTTATTATGTATTCAAAATAAGGTAATATACCCAAAAATGTATACAAAACTACCTTGAATCTCAAGTCGTCAACTGGTGGTTTGGCGTAGGGTATGCCAAGAAAACTGACATAAGGTTTGTTCGACAGTAATGTTTTGTTTTGATGTCCATGGAGAGCACCTTGTTCAATGACAACTTCCATTTTCACAAGTAATTGCTGTGATCTGAAAATGAAATGTATCAGAGGCGGCTCTGGGGGGGGGGGGGGGGCACTGAGTATTGTGCTAAACAGTCCCCACCCGTTTTTGGTTTTTTAAACGAAAAAAAGGGAGCCACTATTCCTAAAAAATTGTATATTGTTAAAAACAAAAATGTTATAATATCGAAAGTTTTCTGAATATTGTTACTTAAGGGCTAAAGCATCCCAACCATATCCCTGGAACCACCCCTTAAATGTATTTTTGTACACAGTTTGATGAACTTTTAATAATATATAGTAAATACACCCAGTGGCCGACCTCGGGGGAAGGGGGACTTTTAAACATTAAAAAAATACATACGTACACCACCTATTATATACTTGATACTCGCTACTAATATAAACAATAATTTATTAAAACTTAAAAGTATTAATTAACGATTTGTAGAAATATTTTTATTGAATTAAAAATCAATTTATTATATGTTCAATATTATTATCATTTGTTTTTTTTAAAATCATTTTTGTGCACAATATTGAATAACTATCCATAATATAACAATAGTTATTGCTTGGTGGGTAATAAACTACCCGGAGGGCGTGTAAGGGGATGGCACATCCCCAGTCTTAAAATTCGATTGTATCGACTCGGCACAATTACAATTTAAATAGAAGTGGTCAAATTGTATTTCGTAAAATTTTTTTTTTTTAAATTTTAATAAGATATATACAATCTGTACCCATTAGGCACAATAAGAATATGTGATATAATATTTTGTACATGAAATCGTGAGGGAAGAAGCCAACCAGTGAAGGCACTACCTAATTGTATTTATATATATATATATTTTTTTTTTAATTTTTGGATTATTCATTTAGTAAATCACGACACCAATTTATTTTTAGTCGACGTGTTGGGTTGCCTGGAATTGTGCGAGAAGCTATATTGGATATAAGGGGATTAGGATGAAATGGAAGTCTGTTGTGAAATCTTTTGTAATATGTTATGGCTTCAGCATGAACAGTTTTTATGTTTAGATCTGTGTGCAGAGAGTAGTTGGAGACATATGGTGGGGCTTTAGTGATTAATCTTAAAATTTTATTTTGAACGGTTTGGATTTTATTTACATTAGTTACTTTCGCATTGCCCCACAATTGTAGGCCATAAGTCAACATGGGCTTGATTAATGATTAATATATGAGAAGTTTGGTGTTTAAATTAGTGTGCTTGTTAGATATTAGTGGTTTAACCGAACGTAGTCATTTCGTAAAATGAAAAATAAAAAAACATGTTGTAAATAATTTATTGTATTTTCGTAGCCGTCCAGATAAGGGGCTGATATATGAAATTTGGAATTACCATGATTTTGTGAATAGTTTAGGTAGTAGGTACACACTACACATATTTTAGACGTATTGTACATTGCTTACCAAGCTGCTAATCGCCCGGGGCCCGACGCACAGTACTGTGCAACAATTAACAACGCATTATATGTGGTGAATTATTTCCTAGCTATCTTCTATAAATACTTATTCCTGAGTTTATATTATAATTTCTAAGTTACCTAATGTATTTTGTAATGGGTGATTACTGATTTTGAAAATGAAAAGCGCGAAAGGAGGAGGATAAAACTTGAGTGCTTGTCTTGTGGCAGTACATTTGATGAGGTCATTGCCGCCGAAAGCATGAAAAACAAATGAACGATGGAGCAAAGGACAAAGGTTAAATGAATACCATGGAGCCCCAGATAATCCGTTCGTATATGCTCGGTTAATTTCGAACGAAAAGTATGTCATGTATGTGATAAATTTATAATAGATACGTAACTAGAGAATTCTACATCTCTACATGACATAATCACAGACTTCTGTACTGACTGTACTACACTAGATAAGAAACTCCTATATTGTAGCCGATAAGTTGAATTAATATTATTCTTAAATCATCAGTGATGCTGGAAAAATATTAAATATACCTGTGTAAAATTGGGCAGTTTTGGAACCGAATTACAACAAAATGATACACGTTATTCTTTGTGTTCATATGCAATTTTGTCCAAATTTGAACTTAAAATAAAATGTCTGTAAAAAAGTTATAGAAAAAACTGCTTAATTGGAACCTTTTTTTAAATTTTCCATCCTTGACTATAAAAATTGAACATTTTATACATTTTTAACTACAAAATCATTTAAAATTTTCCATTTTCATAAATATTGTCAACATTTGAACTTTAAATGCTTATAAAAAAAAAATCTTGCCTATGTATTTTTAATATTTTTCAACTGCTGATGTAACAAGTTATCAAGAGTCTTTTATTAAAATTTTCATGCTTGTTGACCCAACCAATACAATTTTATTGACATTTATAGAAAAACAAAAATGAAAATTGAAAATGTCCGCCAACAACATAAAACGTGTCAAAATATTTTGAAAATTTTATCAAGTATATTAACTGATGAAATAAACATTTGGTGTAAACTTCAAGTGTCTACAGTAATTTATTTTTGAATTACAACTAAATAAAAAAACCGCTACAAGAGAAATCGAGTGAATATCCAATGTAGTAAAAATTCAACTTTAAACGCTCATAACAATTTAATTTGACTTTTCGGTAGAAATTTTTTTTTTGATAAAGATGGACAAACTTGTAAGGAATCTTGTATTAAATTTATAAATCTTAAATAGAAATAGAAAATTTCTTATGAATTTTATACTAAATATAATATGCCAAATTTCGTGATTTTAACGAATTTTATCAAAATTCTAAGTTTAAGCGATCATAAAAAATTATTGTGGATTTTCGCTCAACTTTGTTTTTTAATTTCCATTAACAACAACTTACAAGTAACCTTGTATTACATTTTCAAGTTTTTTGATGGATCAAAAAATTTTTTATCGACTTTAGTTTTAAAAAAAACAAAATGGTTTAGGTAACCAATAAATTAATTATTTTTTTATACCACCCAGCATAAATACATTATTTTTTATGATTTATGGTCCTATCACAGCATGGACCGACTCCGTTATCATTGTTATCCGAGTCAGTAATTATGTATGACTGCTTACTTGCAGGTTGTATTTTCTATTGGCGATAGTGAGCTTACCAATTTTTGGCCGGCGGAAAGTGGTCTGTAGCGTGCAACACGTAATTGCCTTTGCCGATACGAATGTTTCTAAGTTCGTAATACGAAGACAATTCAATAGAGTCGTCCTTTTATTAAATCTATTATAAAATACCTACTTTTGGACCGAAAAACAATCGCGCGGAAAAGAAGACGACAACAACGACGACGGTATTAACTGTTACACTATTTATTTACTATACCTATTAACCTATATAAATATATTATCTATGTAACGCGACTACTCGACATCACCAGCACATAAACAATACTGACGCCACATTACGTATCTAACAGTACAGTATTATAGTTATAAGTTATGACTCGTCATCTCACATTTGATGTACGGCGTCCTTCCGTATTTCTGTGTAACGGTATACCGAGTGATTATCTTATCGATATACCTAAATCCATAATTATTGCGCATATTTGGGTTTCAACAACGCTTTACCCAGGTAACTATTTCGCCGCCCATCAAATGTATACTTTAATAACTGTACTCACTCGTCCGAATTTTTGATCGTTATACCTACACCGAAATAGTTAAAATAATATAATATTCTCTATCGTAGAACAGGAAATACATTTTTTTCTAATAAAATAAAACCATACAAATAGTGTTCAGTACATTTATAAAAAATATTTCGATAAATTTCGATGGTTTTTAAAATGATCGGTGTTCTTTGGAGAAAGGATCATCCGGCATGGTGGTGTATGATAGTAATAGAATATTATGTTATTAATCATTTACTATGTATATAGGTAAATCATAGATTATATGCATGCAATACAATAACGGTAAATAGACTATAGGTGCACCCATTCGATTATATTATTATATCATACAGAGACGTGTTATAGATAACCATAGGACCTTTACTACTAGACAAGAACCTTATATAACAATAGCATTACTATAGCGGCGTAACAACATATCGCAGTGATGTTGCCGCATACGCGTAGCATGATGAATTTATATGGGGGGGGGGGGCTAGGGTTAATTTTTATTTTTCGAGTGTTATCGACGACGTTACCGGAACTTCTTTCGAGGGGCTCGACAGAATTTTCACCACAACATGAGTAGGAGGTAGTATCAGGAACGTGGTGAAGAATAATTCGTGTGGGAAGGGGGTGTCAAAAATGCTGACTGGACTCGTTTTTCCGAAAACCACGTTAAATTATTAAAAATATCAGTTTTTTGCACTTTGCTAGGTACTAATAACACTTCATGATCCGTATCCTTAAAAGATAATTTTATATATTGTTCAACTCAGTTCCGATGTTTTTGAACTTAAGTATCATTTTCATTTTTTGAAATTTTCTTTTTCTTTAATGATAGATTATATTTTAAGTTTTAAATAAAATAGAAGAATTAAGTATTTATTTATTTATGCAACCAGTGTCCACTCACGTACAACATTTTAATCATCAAATTATTATTATATTATGTACATATACAATAACGTTTAGTATTGATGACTCTTAACATGTAAATATAATTTTATAATATCAATGATTTTATTTTATGTTTTATCTATAAAATTACCGATAAGGTGACAGTGGCTGACTGACTGTACTATCAACGCACAGCCCAAACCATTGGACGGACCGGGCTTAAATTTGGTATACAGATAGCTATGACATAGCCACGTGGACGTCGGATAATAAATGATTTTTGGAAATTCAACCCTTAAAGTGGAAAATGAGGGGTTGTGGGAACACAACAGTAGCGCCATCTGTCCAGTAACATAACCCAAAATTCTACTGTTTTAACGTATTTGCTTAATTTTTCACATAGGTAATGAAAAAAAGTTTGAAATTTGAAATTATGATTTTTCTAATGCTCTAAATGTGCTTGGAAATTACTCGTTTCATTCCGTGGCACACGCTTTATAATTTATTTGGCACTGCAGAATTATAATTGGGATATTCGAATTAGAGTAGTTATCTAGATATTGCCTACATAGGTTGCACTTACATCTCATGTCCGCAGTATTCACAGCAGGTGGACTGCCCACCTGATAAACTGCATAAATAAATGGCTAAATATTGTCCATTACAAGTAAATACATTTTCATTTAAGCTAAATGAAAAGCTTATTGCTAGATCTCAAGCCCAATTTTTGATTTTACACTTTCTACAAAAAAAGAAGCACCGGATATGCGACGCCACAAAAGCATATTATTCAATCAGCGGTATGAATATTGTATGATGGACATAAAAAAAAAAACAATTCTTTGTCCGTGCAACATCCGGAGGGGACAGATAGTATGATACATAGGCTACTTTATGCTATGATATAATTCAAAAAACCTATTACGTATGACTATACAATATTATGTACATATTAGGTACTATGCTTTTTTAAAGTATCTTAATACAATTAAATTTAAACTCTTATCATTTAATATTATTAAAATTGAATTTGAAACACTAAAATTAATATTAATAAACACTATGTTTAATATTTTTGTTGTACGTGATTTATTTTATAGTATTTTCCTTTTTTATTGTAATACTGTTTTGTCAATCCTGATTTTAAATTTCAGATGAACATAAAATGGTCATGTTAATTAATGTTACATAATAGTTAAGTGCATAGTAATGTACAAATTACACGTGTAATTCCATAGAATTATCAGGTGCTTATTTGATATTTTGTAGGTACTAGAAAAAAAATGTACACTAAATAATTATTATATATTTAATCATTTTAATGATTCTATACTGTTTTGAAGAATTAAAGAGTGCAGTTTTATATGCAGATAGAACTCTAACCAGTAATGGGTAACAATGAAAAAACAGTATTTTTTTAGAATAAAATTACGTGTATTTTTTTTCTTATGCACTTATTTGTTTGTCTTACAAACAGGTGATGAGATGTATTAGTCAATTATTGATATCATATACACTAACAACTCAGTTAACATAAAAATTGTAATCAATAATTTTAAAAGATCTGCGCGATAGGTAATTCTAAAACAATCACAATACAATATATTTTACGTTTTCTCAACGACATAATATAACCATAGACATATAAACATGTACAAATGTAGTGATAACGTATAAAAACAATAATTTGCCAGTACATACGATGTTATTCTTTTGTCAACGTGTAAAAATTAACAAAAAAAATCAATAACATAAATAAATAAATAAATAAATGTACATATACAAATTCACAATGATACGGCAGATAAAAAAATTTAAAACAAACAATAAATTCATTTTGATAAAACAAGTACGATACTCGATTGTAAAAACATTTCGAGCTATTTAAAACCACATGATATTTAACGCGTAGTCTGTTAACAAAATCAATATATTAACATGCATTTATTTTACCGTTAGTGCTTATTAGTTTTTTCTTTTTTAATAATGTTTCTAAATTATAATTATTATGATAATGCAAAAATATAATTATTAAAAACTAAACAGAAATTGTTTAGGAAATCTGAGCCTGAACAACTTAATAAGCATGAAAATGATAATACAACTAATAGCTGTGACTAAGTAACTCAGCAGATTAGTGTAAATGTTTCAGTTTGCTTGAAAACTATATAATATTATAAGCCTACACTCTAATCAACATTATTAATTTTGTAATTTACAAGACTAGTTAAAGGTAAAGAAGAAAAATTCTTAATCACAGTTTAAAAAAAAAAAAATAATTTTCAACAACTGAAAAAAAGGCCATAAGCAAAATATGTATTGAGTTACACAATACATATAAATAAAAACATTAAATAAAACATATAAATATGCAATACGAACGAGTGATAATTAATATTGGTAAACAACGTTTTTATTTATTTATTTAGTGATGTTGTGACGTATGGACGTGTGTTGTACATAGACTTAAATATGTACGCGTTAGTCACAAACTTTTAAAATTAATAAAAAAAACTAATTGTGTATGTGTTGTTGGTGTGTGTGGTAAGTGTGTTACGATGAGATGAAATCTTCATGTAATGTTTCTACTGTTTCAAACAGATTCCTTTTTTTGCTGCTGATACAGTTGGTAACATTTTGAACAGAGATGTTTAGTCACAGATGATCCGAAAAACTCACAGTCTTCTGTACGACATTTGTCCACTTGTGAACCAGTGTCATAGAATGTAGATTTTGATAGGTACATTGTGGGGTCTTCATTTGTGACAGCCTTGACAGGAGTCATCAGGCCGACTTTAACATGAGACTCAGAATCAGCTTCAGTGTAAAAACGAGATTTCCCAGCTCCATAACGAGGTGTTGTATCCACCTAAAACATTCAAAACAACTCTATAACAATGGAACAGTGTCTACAAGCAAGTATTTGATAATTATAATATTTTATTTATCATATTAATCTAAAACTTTTGAAGTAATAAAATGAATTGCTTATAATTTAATGCAGTCAGTCAAATTAATACCCAACATTTTTTTTTATATGATAATGATTTTCACCATTCTCTCTCTTAAACACAACAGAAATATATTTTAAATACATTTCTACACTAATTTCAGAACATTAAAAAACTATCTATTTCATTAATTTATAGGTACTAGGAATTTTTTTCAAAGCACAATATTTAATAAATATTTAAATGATAATTGAGTATTATGATTATAAACCAAAAATAGTAAGTTCAAAAACATTCTTGTTGACCTTATATTAATTTTTTCCTTGATTTCAAAACTGCAGATTTATATATAACATCCGACCAATCAATTTGTTGTAAACGATTGTCTTCTATATTTAATATGAATAGCGACGGCGTGAGGTTTTATGGGGCTCGGGGCAGATATTTTTCATGGGACCAGGAAACTTTTTTTCGTAAGGCAAAAAAAATTTACTGTAACGTCCTAGTTCTTAGGTAGAAGAATTTTTTTAAATATTTATTGAAATAAAATATGTACAAATTAAATGTTTATGTACACTAACTATACTAAACACAAGTGTTACACAAAAATTTTAAAAAAAAATTCAAGATTTTAACATAAAAATTGTATAATGCCAGCATTATAATTCATTTTTACTCTCACTTTTTAATATAGGTATTCCAATAATTATTATATTAAAACCCAGAAGCCGCCACTGCGATACACAGACTTGTATTTTTAATTCGAAAAACAAAATTATAGAGTTAAGAGCAGCCATGAAAAGCACGTGACCCCTAAAATGGTGGAGCCCTGGGCAGCTGCCCCTTCTGTCCTGCCTTTCTGCTGGGGCTGAATAAGGGTACTGGATAGTGATGACATCTTTTATTGACAAATTATATACATTTTTATTATTTTTAATACAGAAAATATTATAGTTCCTTACACACATTTGATAAAGCCATACAAAATATTTGTAATATTAATTCTATAATTATATATAGGGGAGAATCAGTGAGACATTTTAAAAGTCTTGTAAACGATAATTAATGTTCTTTTGAATAAAAATTGATACTATTTTTAAACTGTAAAAATTATTCTATGCATTTTTGGTTTAAAAATAAAATACAAACACACCACACTGTTGAAATTTTGTTAAAAAATGTCATAATATTAATATTGAATATGTATTGTAAAATAATAACTTATGTATTATTATCAAATAAAATATATACACAATAGTGCGTATCGTAAAATATGTTGGTAAAAACTTGATACCATATATTTATAAATTTGAATAAAACATTAAGATTTGTCCATGGCTATAGGGTATAGACTACTGTATAATATAATCAAATATTTTACTATTTTATATGAAAAGTTAAGAAATAAACTATTCAAAATATGTTAGCAATTTTATTGTTATCATCACCTCTTCTTTGTGATTGGGTCACAAACTAAAAACTACAAACAACACAGGCACATAGCTATGATGTATTTAGCTATACTTGAAGTATAATATATAGTATTCATAAGGTATTTTTTTAACTATTTAATACACAATTTGTAACAAAGAATGTATATATTATAATTTTCTAAAAATGTGCAGTCTCTCATATCATATTAAAATTGACTTTACTAAGACATTTACCCTTATCCAACTCTCCCCACATCAAATGCATTTTAAAATAATTACCCAAAATGTAGTCTTTAATAAGATAATTCTAACTCACGTAAGGTGAATGCTGAAAACGTTCAGCTGCTGTCCTTAAGTAGTTTTTTATCATCACATCGTGATATTCATGTTTTTTATCTGAGTTGATCAGAGCACAATACGTATACTTTGCTTGAGGTGATATTGCCGATAGATTTTTTACTGAGTTCGTCCTAGACAGTTTTGACTTCAATTTATTGCCTACTGAACGTCCTAGACTTCCAAAAAGACCATTTTTCCCTATAGTGTCATTGTTACCCTAAAACAAACCATACATTTTACATCATTTAAGTATAATTAATAACGCCAATTATTATAAATACTTGAGGATCGAGTTTCACAATGTCTAAGTAACTGTTCAATAACGACAATGAATCTGTAAACGATAATTCTTGATTTTTATCAGGAGTATGATCATTTTCACCAGGATCAACCGGAAACTGTATTGGCAAGAGTTCACCATTTGAATCCACCAAAGGTATAGCACCTGAATTCAAAGATTTAAACTATAACCAACCATAATAATATACCTTGAGTTGTATAATGATAAAATATATACATACAAGAAAGAGTTGAATTTGGGGTTTCCATAGCAACCAAAGCTGAAAAATGCCCTCCATCATATGCCAATAACAAAGGAGAACGATGACAATCACACGGGTAACACTCTAGGGGCAAGTAAATACCTCCAAATTGTATAGGAGCCAAGGCTTCACCGTTCATATCCTGTAGATCAAATTGATTTAAAAACAATTCAACACATTGTTTGAATCACCCTACTAATTAGTATATTAAAACTAAAAAACAAAATAAACACCTTAAGAATAGTATCTGCTATGACAATAATAGGTCTTTTTAATACATGTGCCAAAGCATAAACATGAATTTCTTCAAGGCTCTCATAAATGTATCCTTCGGTATCTGCATTTCCACTATTTTGGTAAAAATATACATCAAGTCATGATAAAAAAACAAACAAATAAACAAACAAACAAACAGACAAACCTTGATGCACTTTGTTTCCGCATACGAGGAACAGTAGAAGCCATATTAACAATTGCGTTCCATTCTCGGCGCCATTCTTGTTCTGTATATACGAGACCAAATAATGAATTCATAATAGTTTGTTGTCGTTGCCAACGCCGCCAGAGTGAATGTCGAGCTGGGCCATTGCTGAGGAATGAGTGCAAAGCACGCCTCAAATTTAATAACCGATCATGGAATCCCCAAATACCTATAGGAATAATACATAGATATAATAAGTATTAAAATGTGTAATATAAATAAATACTAATAAATCGTATAAATTAAAATAAATTATGAATATGTTAAATGTGTAAATATAAATAAATTGTCTTAAATTAAAATTTGAATATATTGCTTTGGGGACAATTTTAGTAAGCTATTTAGTTTTGTAGCATTTATACACTTCCAGAAAAATAAGATAAAAGTATTATTACAATTAACAATAAATGTTTGTCTGTGTCTGATTATTATTTGTTTTAATTTAATATTATATTGCTCAAGTCAATAAATGTCCAAAATAATAAATAATCCGTGTATTGTTTCAACTCACCTAACGAAGCAGCGTGCAGAAGACAGTTGCCATCACCAGATGTTGAAAGTGGCCAAAGCCTTTGACAAAATCCAGTCCACCAATTCAGTCTTGAAGCCTGTTCGAGAGAACTTTGCATTGCTACTGCTATCAGGTCTTTTTCAATGAACATTCGAAATTTTTCTAAACAATAATAGAGCAACATATTTTATATGTTGAAGATATTATAATTATTAATTGATAATATTATTTGAGAAGAGCAGTAGGTAAAAAAGTTTCATTGTACAATATTATATAAGTAAATAAATAACTGTGGTTAAATTTTACCTTCGAGTTGTGATAAATCTGGTAGAATAAATGTGTAAACCGGAGTTTCAACAATCTGTAGTTCATCTTCAGTGTTGTCGATAAAAATCAATTCTGATCTTGCCTGGGAAACAATGTTCACATTGTCTGTAGCATGTGAAATGCCTCTTTTGAGTGTTTTATCTAAAAATAAAAATAAATACATTTTAACCACAACGCTTTACAACAAGGAGTAGATACCTAGATATACAATTTGTTAAAAAAACAATGCAATATAATATGTACCCTGTACAAAAGAATGAAATCCAACAAATGATGAACTAATATCTATTCAGTCACAAACAGATAACAATATTATAAAGGTACTTACAAGCATTTGTACTGAATGGTTCATCATGATGTTGAGGTGGAGTAGTTCCGGTTAATGGTATTAGTATAGCATTTTGGGATAATGAAGTTGTCTCATCCATGAAAGGGACTGCTGTAATGTTACCGTTCTCAATATCCTCAAAACTGTTACTGTTGTGGCCATATAACCCAGAGTCAGGTTGGTCGTAATGGCTAGAGCTGTTTCGCTCCACCTTGACCAATAGTGCATTGCTTTCCTCCACGTTGGTATCTATTCTACAAACAGAGTACAGACATGAAATGTAAATTGAATTATTGTTTATGATATTAACAAATCTAAACAATAACATTACTCATTGAACATTTTTATTCACAAAATAACAATTCAAATTTACTTGAAGAAAAAACCTGAAACTATGGGTACCTATGGTGTAAATTTCGTTAAGCAGATTAAAATAGACACATATCCATAGCTTTAAGCATATGATCACCGAATTTAGTAAAACAAATGGTCTGAAACATAATAGTATTGTGGCTACTATATTATATATTATGATTTATGACTTTATGAGTGTCGAAATCATTACATTTGTACATAACTACTAACAAATTGGCAAATGAAAATTGTGAAAAAAGCCAATTAGCATGTTGATTAAGCGGTAGCGAAAAAAATTGACCAACCAAAATGATATAAGGTAAATAGATGTGGACGGGGGGGTCAATAGGTGAGATTAGTTCACATGTTGTGTAAAACGTTTATCAACAAATCAGACATGAAATTTTATTTTGGTACTTGTAGGAAATGGTCATTATCGACGTACAAAAGTATTTAAAGTGGCATAAAATACTCAAAACGACGATTTGAATACATTACCACAAAACGTACGTGTAATTTTTTATTGTTGATTGTTTAGACGCGAATATGTTTACCCGAGCTATAGTCATACCGAAGCGGCAGCAGGTATTAAAATTTATATTAGGTGCGGAACGTGCGGTGAATAATAATCGTAAACATTATTCGTCCGAACGATCCTATAGGACCTCGTCTCGAGCGTCCTGGTATATTATAATATATCTTGAATAGGTGGAGACCTGTTGAATTTCGAGATTAAAAAGATCGAGATCCGAGATCGAAACCAAAAATAATTAATTACTACGAATACTGGAAAAAATAAACGTGACCAAGAAGAGCTTGGGGATAAGTAGGTAGGTAGGTATGTATTCGGTCAGTATTTACTACAGCGATCATTGCGTTTGTGTTTGTCGTACACGAATCGCTCGATATCGGTCGTGTTTGAGGCGGAGCTAGCGAATGGCCTAGTAGTACGAGAAAACCCGTCGTCAGTCGGGCCGACGAAAACACTTTTCTATTTCTACTCACGTCCGGATCTACGACGAGTCTGGCATCGAGCGGACGAGATCGTGTCAGCGGAAACGATGACGAGCGGACGACGCGTGTTGTGTCGCAGTTGTCGCGCGTCGCACTGCCTGTCTGCCTGCCGCCTGGTGCCTGCGACGAACGCGTAAACGGTAAACGGGTCGTCGCGGGCGGGACAGAGTGAGAGTGCGGCGGCGGTGGTGGCGGTGGTTTCCGACGCGAACGTTATTTCAAGGTAACGAAGACCGCACAATATAAATAACGAACGAAATAATAAAAATATATTATTGTGGCAACAACGACGAAATAATGTTATCGCAAAGCGAACGATTTTTCTTTTTTTACTGGTAGCTACCTATTTTAACTGCGTTAAAGGATATCGTTTTTATCTGTGGTCGCATCACGGTCGTCAAGATCTACAGCAGCTGATAATATCGTTTTATCATCGAGTTGTACAACCCATGATTGTGCGCGCGTGCGAAACTTATAAGAATAACCGGTCAGTTCTATGGGTATGCGCTGCGACGTTATCAAAACCGAAAATATTTCGCCGTGGAAATAAAAACATCACTTGCCCACTTCCTGCCGCCCACGAACTCCTCAAAAACCGTCTCCTCCAAGATGACGTCGCCACCTCCCACGCTCCCCTTGGTCTGTTCGCCTTCTGCTAAACTAAGCGCGAGACTACAATATAATTTAATATAATATTAATAATATACAAATTACGTACAACATTTTAATCACGGCTAATGATATTATGAACAATTTTCTACTACTTCTTGCGGCTGATTGTTCAATTTAAATTTCCATCCGAGCACACGTCAAAAATGCGGATTCACGAGTTTCCGATCGGTGAACGCATAATGTATTGTTGTTGTTGTTTTAATACATTTCCGCGTAAAACAAATATGTACAGTGTTTGGCGCGCGTGTACGGCATAATCATAATTAATAATATAATAATCACAGCTACGGACACCTCACGACGTCACGTACTGACGATATTATCGGGTATTGTACAGTTTTGCTATACTCGCATTGCCGATGACATCGGGTTTTTTGTTTCACAATAAAAATGAACAATAAATGCATTCGACGAACGGTTTTTTTTTCGGTCACGCCGATCGAAGTCGCGCGCACTGCATACCACGTTAACCTAGGTTGCTGCAGCCGACGATCGCGGTCCGCTTCACCCGCAATCGTAATTCACCGCACACCCATCCGCCTACTCGGGATCTATCATCTAAATACGCCAACCTCGTTGGAGATTCGATGTGTACAATAAATTTTTTACTTTTTAATGCGCGTCGGTATTAATAACTGAAGGGGAAATGAAATACGAATATTAAATTATACTGCAACGATTTCGTGTGATATAATATTATTATACAAAATATATAGGTACCTATCGGCCGCGGTAGGTACACGACTGCTGTTTAGTAACTTAATAACTATAATTAATCGAAATTACTCAATATAATGATTTATCTATTTGTATAAACTCGTGATTTGTGCATGCTTCGATAGTTCGTTGTACGTATTATAACTTATATAAATAGGTACACATAAAATATGATATTGTATAAATAGTTGGTATCGTAGCTTAACAATACCACCTAATTATACAAAATTGCATACTTGTTTTAAGCATAATATTTTGCACAACCGAAATGATACAATTGTATTGAAAAAAAGTCATTTTAGTGGAACAATTTGTGTATGCTGACTTAGACTGTTCAAATAAGTTTAAAATTTCTATTTTTAAATATTTTACAAGAGGGTGGGGTGGTTGTGTTTTGAGGAGAAAATGCCAGGGATTCATGTATCATCTGATACATATAATATTGTTGAGTGTTGATGTAATTTATTGCTCGAAACATATTATGTAGTGTGCGATGACGGTTGCGATATAAATCGTATATTAAATTGGGCACCAAAATGATACATTTACCATAATATAAGCGACGGACTATCACTGGACACTGATAGCATGTACAATATTAGTTAATTACAAATTTAAAATGCTCGCAGCTCAAGTGAAAATTAAAATATCTTTTAAACATAAATAATGTTGGAATGTTCTTAGGTTAGATTAGTTTAAAAATATTAAAGCCTGCAACAGTGCAACAAGTAACAACACAATTACACAAAACTGGTTCTGCTTAACATAAATATAATAGTATAATACTATGTTGGATAGATAGATGATCGATTTAAATTTATTGTCATTACTCATTTCATGATTCTACATAATAATAATAACAATAATAATATTAATAATTAATATTGAAATTAGTCTAAAAGGCCAAAGATTTAAATAAAAATAAAAAATGGTTTGTAACTGCTCACCTGAACCTATAGCTTGTGGAGGAGAAAAGAGTTAGTATTTTGAAATGTGAAGTATCCTAGTATACATGGTGTGATTTGTAACTAATTTATAGTTATTACTCATTATATCTATACATAGTATTTTTAAATAATCGTAAATAGCAGGTACCACACTGTAAAGATAAATTTAACATAATCAAAAAAAATGAAATAAACAAAAAAGAAAAACAATATTGATTCTACAAATTCTAATTTACTTATAATATAAACAAAAAACACTATAATATTGATATATGTGTAATTTTATAACTTTGTTAGACTGAAAAAAATGACTGTTATTTGCTGCGTAAAAACAACGCATTGAGGCCGGACGTCCTCTATATAGTTTATTAATTCCTTTTCTATACCTACCAATTCAATTTTCTACCAAACCAAAAATAGTGCACCTAACTGAGATTGTCTACTAACATTCTCAGATTTAATTTTGATTGAATTAAATATTCCAACATTTAACAAATTGAATAAGCTATCCCTGCACATAGTTACAAATATTTACATTCGTATAGAAATATAGAATAATTTCAATAATATTTGAATAGGTAACATATTAATAATGATATATAATGATTTAGACAAGATGGTTTTTATCAGTTTAATATTTTATTATACATCACGTCGTAGAGCCGTAGAGGTGATTTATAAAAATGATAATAATTATGTAAATAATTACGTAAAACAATCTCGCATTGCCCCTCATCGGATAATCCGTTCACTTTTTACAATAATATATTATGTACATGCGTAAACAGGAAATCGAAATTATAGAATTCTATTATTATTTTTTTCATCGTCGTTATTATATTCTTTAGATGGACCTTGAACTTCACAATGTACCTAGGCAATAGGTATACCACCGCTCTGCCAAAATTCAGACCTTCCGCAAGAAACACTCAAATATTGTTTGGCCACAAATGTACTACCCATTTGGAAATGGCTAGTGAATTTCAATAAACGCATCCAGTTGGCTCATGTCCTACTTGTTTTTAGTTTGTATACTATATTGTACTTGGGCTACATATTTACGCTACACACTACCATCACGAGTGTCATGTTGGAATATACATACAATTATACAAAATTACAAAGTATGCATCAATTGTTGATGAGGCCGAAGGGGATATTTAATAAATTGTATAATCCGTACTTCGGTGAATATTGTAACTTAGTTTATTGAACATATAATAATAGCCGCAATGTAACGCGCCGGGACGGTGTGTACTGTTTGTTAGCTATGACACTACTACTGAAGTATAACGCGAAGTGCGATGAAGTCGCCCGAGCGACGTCTTATCTCTCATTTATTATTTTACCGGTCTACCTGATGTAGCGATAATATTATTTTAATTTTCTCGGCTCCAACAATTGTATAGATTATAAATTATACTTAGGTACCTTATTGATTTATGATGATTTGAAACTTCCATAGTTTATTATTACCTATAAGAAATAATCCTATTTTGATAATCTTGTTTCTCATATCTCATAATATGCCTAACTGCATTATATTATTTCTATAGTTGTACTCCATTTTACTTTCAATTTATACTATTTAGAATCGGAGCATATCATTCTCGGTGAAACACGATATAATATTATTATGCACAAGTACGAATAATAGTTTATGTGCGGACGCTGAATAGTGAACAGTAATAATCAGTTGTAGCCTACAGGGTTATGTGGGGACAGAGGGACAAAGAGCTTCCTCCCACGTTAGTCTATATATATTATATACAGTATATATATCTTACATAAATATGTTTGCTGTATAGTATATTATACAAACAATACTGCGGAGTACGAAAAATAACAAAAAAAACAGCACCACTTCTGCGGGAACCACCAGGGTGCATGTGATGCTAATACGTTTAAGTGCAACTCACATTATTACATATCTCCTTTATCATTATGATTTATAAGATCAAAATATAATTTTTACTCAATCGTGTTCTATCTTCTATATATGACTATTGACTATAGTGATGACTGATGACTTTAAAACTATGATACTACCCAACTCCCAAGGTAGTACGCAAGTCTTGAAGCAGTTGTATACCTGTATTATGCGCATTGATTGAAGTCTGAAGTTACAAATATAATTAGTACAGAGGTAGGTACATATGACCATGCGTTTATGTATCAGTTTACACATTACGACACTAAATAACATAATATACAAAAATAGTAAAAATAGTAAAAATACAATATGTAAATGTGAATAAGTATAGATAGTGCATCAGTTTCTTATATTTTTAACTCAACCAAGGAGGGGGAAGTCGATTAAAGTTTTACAAAACATTAATCAACCATTTTCGAATGCGCAGTTGTATTAATTTGTATTTTATTTATCAATGTTAATTTATCAGTGTTATCCATTAATTATTTATTATATGGATAAAATATTTATTAGTACACAAAAAAAACAAGGCTCTACATCAGGAGGGGGTGGGGCGATCCTTCCCACCAAATTCACCACTGTACTGTATAAAAGCTTAGTTTTTTAAAGTATATGTACCTATAGTACCTATAGTACCTACACCGGCACTCATTGTTTTTGTGTTTTGGCCAACACCGTGACTTTA